TGAGTCTGATTGGACTGTAAATATAAGAAAATAAGAGCCCATATTATGCCCTTTTGGGGTTTGTATATTTGATCTATGTTCCTACTTTTGTACGTTCACAATAGCTAAAGTCTGAAAAAAGTGTCTGTTTTCATGTACTGCTCCTCCTTGCTCCCTCTACGCTCTGAGTCTGTCAGCTACACTCTGTTGAGCCCACACTGTTAGACCCCCACGTGGGCCAAGTCTGCTCTGATTGGTCTGCCGATCCGCTCTGTCGTTATTGGTCAGTTGCTCAGCATGCGTCTCGGAAATTTCAACATGAGCTGCAGGGCTTGCCACAACGAGCCAATGGGCTTAGATCAGTGATCTCACACTGACAATGACGTCGGACTGACACATTTTTATCGAGGGGGGCTAGAACCGAGCGTTACATGCAGCTAATGCTACAGCTAACAGGAGGACGTAGGAGAAGCCGCGTTTCCGCAGACTTTGAATTTTTGCACATAGATGTGCCTAAACATGCACAGGACACTAAAACCAGAAAAAGCATAATATGGGACCTTTAATGGATGAAGCCTGAGTGGCGTCACCACCTGTTCCTGCAGGGGGCTCCGGAGTCCCATTGATGGCGGCCCCCATGCTGGAAATGCTGTCTCACACTTTTAAGTCAACCTAGTGTCGAGCAAAGAGCTGGAGGTGAGGCGGGTTTTAAACCTCTTGACAAACCATTACATCACACTCACCTGTCAATCAGGTCAGCTACGTGTCTTATTGTGAATAACGCTTATCCTTCATAAAAGCAAAACAGGTGAGTTATTGTTATTAAAAAATGTGCACCCCCGTACAGTGTGTGCCGATTATGACATAAGCTAATCAGGCCTATTTCGTTTTTTGAACCAGACTGTAAACATGTTCATTTCTGCTGGAAAGTCGGTCATTTTTTCGGCTGTGGTGTGTATGTCCCTTCCGATGCTTCTACAGCCAGCCTCAATCAGACACTCTATCAACTGCAGGATTTTGTACTTTGCACATCATTGGCTTCATTTTTCAACACCAGAGGTTGCCACCTGTTTGACCCATATGCCACCTGTTAACATGAAGGAGGCAGAGCTTATCATCTATACAGCAGCCGGTCAGTAGTATGAGCTCCAAATGTTTATGCTTCACTTTTGGGGAACTGTCATGCAGTCTGTATTTTTTTATAGTCTATGAAACAACCTTAAAGAATATTACAAATTACAAACTACTTTTCAGTAGTTATTCCATATGTTCATTCTCAAAAAAAGTTTGACCACAAACATCTACATTTGTTTGACATGTTCTAGCAATAAAATGATTTTTACTTGCCAAAATATTCAAGGCTCCTGCGGATCTTTCATTTGTGTTGTTTTTGGCGCCCCCTGTGGACAAAGTGGAATATCTGATCTCTGCTGATTTTGTGAAGGTGTAAGTGTTGTTGGTTCACAAATGTCTCTCGTATCCTCACAAACAGAAACACACAGACACACACACTCATACAGGTCACTGTGTGAGTCAGCAGAGAGGTCAAGCAGATGGCTCACCTGAGCACAGGTAAACACGGGATTACATAGGAGTCAGGCAAACAAGAGGATTAATGGTAGAGTACAGATTATTCCAGAGAAGGTGAACTGTCTGCTCACACTGAGGTGTCAAGATCACAGTTTAAACTGCAGTGACTTGAAGACAGGAGGGATCACAGGTACAAAGGTGAGCTTGCAGCAGGAGTGTAATCTGATGCCTCGCCAACACAACGCCCCCCCCCCCCCCACAAAAACAGGATTCTTATCATTACATTAATTTAAACTTCCTCTCTCTCCTCCTGATCCCTCCGTTCCTCCTCTGTCGTCATGGAGGAGCTTACCGTCCCTAAAATGCACCTCAGGAACACAAGGTGAATTAAATCAATCAATCAATCAATCAATTAATCAATCTTTATTTGTGTAGCGCCAATTCACATCATATGTTATCTCAAGACACTGAACAAAAGAGCATGTACAAGACCTTCTGCACTGATAAAATAGAGGTCCATAAATTATGGTAAAATGATACTCTACATTTAAAATAACCAAGTGTTGATCACATGATTTGACACTGCAAACAGAACTGGAAGACACTAAGAAACCAGTGAAGTGTTTTTTTAAAGATTTATTTTGGGCTTTTTTGTGCCTTTAATGCAGAGAGAGGACAGTGGATAGAGTTGGAAACCAGAGAGAGAGAGTGGGGAATGACAAGCAGAGAGGGGCCATGGGTGGAAGTGAACCTGGGCCTACCACTCGAGATGAGAGTCTCAACACATGGGATGCGCGCCCTAACCATTGCACCACCAGCGCGCCCCACCAGTGAAGTGTTTTGCTTGGAGAAAACCCTTGATCAAAGACACTAAAATGTGGAGAATACCGTATAAAAACAGAGAGGAGGACATCCTGTCAGATGAACTCTGTGGTGAGGCGGTGAAAGGACGCAGAGTTTAAGTCAATTCAATAATAGTCTGAGATGATTCATCCTCACAGTCAAAGCTTTTTTTCATCCCACACAGGTGACATGAGCTTTAATAGATTTTTCTGTGAATTAAATAAAAGTGTCCGTGGGCTCTGCTGCAGAGTACAATATATGATCCCTGCTGAGCTCATTGATTGTAATGCTCTTTAACCAGGAGGCTGCTGCCAATTGGCACAGTGAGCAGAGAGAGAGAGAGAGAGAGAGAGAGAGAGAGAGAGAGAGAGAGGGAGAGAGAGAGAGAGAGAGAGAGAGATGTTTTTCTCTGTAGAAAGTGGAAATGGCTTAACTCCGCTAATAGATTCCGGCTTTAGATCAACAAAGATGCTGTCAGGGGGATATTTTATGGCCTTTTCAGACCAAATAGGATTTCTGAGAACAGTGGGGGACTCAAGGAGGATTGAGGGGAGCAGAAATATTACTGAATGTCAAACGATGGCAGAACAGATGCAGGATTCTAAATGTACACACAACAGGACTAGAAGTACTGATGTGTGGTTGTGGTATCTTTGCAAACAGTAACAAAGTCTCATGGCTGTTTCTCACAAAATGATAGTGAAACTGTTGACGGGAAGAAGGATATGTGGGCCTACATCTCGCCGTTTTCACCTGTGACTCTTCGCAGAACATGTCATTTTCTGCAAATCTTTAAAAAACACCTTGGAGAGAGAGAGGGGTAGAAAGAGGAAAGGGACCAATTAAAAAAGAAAGAAAAATAAACTAGATGGAATAAAATTCCCTCCAGATGTTGCTGAGATATCATTTCAGTAGAATGAATCAGACTCAAAGTCACAGTGAGCTTTGACTTCTTACCAACACAATCTAATACTTACAACCACACATCAGGCACCTCATTTACTCCTGGTTTTAAAACCTGAGCTGTACTAGTTTGTCTGGGTAAAGGGATAAAAAGTTATTATGAGTCATTATAATCATATGTCAGATCACACCTGGAGGTAATCTGGACCACATTGTGTTTAGACCTTGTGCAGGTGTTAACATAATCCATACCTGTGTCCTTTTTCTGCTGACAGACACCAGATCCCAAGGAGGATAAGAAAAGGTTTTTTTAAAACAACAAAAATAACTTTCCCACCAAGTAAATCAGAATGAAGATATTTTCTCCAGATCTTCTTGAAATGTTGAATTCCAAGAATGTTTCAGGTAAATTGGATGGTAAAATGTTTTTCAAAGACATTATGATGTCACAGTCATTTTTCAACAATGACCTGTTGGGAAAAAAAAATGCAAATACGTCTCCTTTTTATCATTTCAGACATTGCTTCAAAATTGTGTCATAATTAGACTGAATCCTGGAATTACAGCCAAAACCGGTCTTTCAGAGATCGCAGAGATCTTTCACTTTCAAAATCCAAAGTCATCACTGTGTCAGAGAAAATGACTTTCTGCATTTTTCTGATGAGCTCTTCACACAGTTTTTCATGTCATACTCCAGACTAAAAAGGAGTTAATGGTAAAGGGTAAAAGGATCCAAACCCTGTATATATGTTTGAGCTGTGGTTGAGCCTGCAAGAAGATCCTTCCCTGAATGTTTTTATACATGACATAAGAATCCTCATTGAGTCACACAGCATTTGAGAGATCTGAAAGTAGGTGGAAATCTGGATCCCAGGACATCTTTTTTTTTTATAAAGGCTTTTTATGCCTTTACTTAAGAGACAGGATAGAGTCAGAAAAATGTGCAAACTTTTGCAATGACGGTAGGAAACCTCCCTAAGGGGTTTCCATCTGACAGAACTCACTCTCTTTGACTTGCTGAATGGCCCCCCAATTGATTTTTACCTAGGGCCCCAACAGACTCTAGAATCGCCACTGGGAAGGTGCCACAGGTCAGACTCCAACATGGGCTGTCTGGCAACGCCTTCATCTCAGGAAATCTGTAGGTGTTTTTGCACCAAACAGTTCTGGGGACTTTTTGAGGAGGAACTATCCACTAAGGAGTTCTCATGTGGCACAACTACACACCATGGGCACTTTCTTTCTGTCTGCATTTGCATTGCCATGGTTCCTTGGAGTGTCCACTCTGAAGAAGGAACTAAAAGGTTCCTCTAAACAAGGTTCTAGGAACTAAAATAGTTGATGGTTCCTGTGGTGGGGAATCAACAAACAAAAGGGGAAGGGTTCCAACAGTTCCTAGAACGATTAAAAAGTTCCTGCAGTCTGACAACGCCCCAAAAGGTCCCTACTTGGGGGTTAAACCTTCTAAAAGAACAGGGACTTTGGTGAGTGGTCTTGCATCTCTGGAAATGTTTGTATTGTCAAGTACCTGCAGCATTCAAAAGACTTTCTTATAGATAATAATAAGAGTCCTGGAGTAAAGCAGATTATCTAAAAAAATGTGAGTACATTCTGTGTATTTGTTCTAAATGATGTTCTAAAGATGTACAAAAATGGGATGGGCAGACGTACAGAAGATGTACAGACAACATAAAAACATTTCCTGTCAATGAGGTATAAAAAAAAGGAATCTCAACAGTCTCCAGTAATATCAGAAGTGAGTTTTATTAATCACAAAGAGTGTTTCTAAAATGAACAAAAACAGCCCCAGCAGGCTCCAGATGGACATTCTACTGTTTGTGAGTTTCGATCAGAAAGTCATGTTGTTTCTCACATGATGCACCAGACCTCAGTCAGTAACAGTTTAACAGAGCTGCATCAGAGGAGCGCTGCCATCTTTGATTTGAAAGACAGTGGTGAGTTAGCTTTAAAAAAAACAACAACACTGGAAACCATCTTCCTCTGTGGTGTAAATATAATGTGTACCACCGCTGCTTTACAACATCAAACCAGATCACAGGCGGACGTGTTCAGGGCTGCCTGTGGTCTAAATGTAGGCGTCCTGCATGGTTCTCTGTGTGTTTGTTTGTGTCTGACACTTTGCATGAACTCTGCTTTAATAAGCGCTCACATTGGCTGAATAATCAGAGCTCCATTACAGCTGCTGACATGTTCATGAACACTGGGTCGACTCTGGGTTTGAACATTGTGTTTGTCTCTGAGAGCAGTGGAGCAGCAGTCAGCCAGGACAGATTTAAACCTGTTCTAAACCAGAGCTAATATATAAGTGGCCCTGCTATGGGTATCCTTCTTTTTTCCTTTGCCTAATAGTGCTATTATGTGTCTTCTGCAAAAATAATTCCCACTATATTTAGGCACTAATATATTTCTATTTTCTACTTCAACATGTCTACACCATCAACTCTATGAAAAAAAAAGAAGCTATTTACAAATTTGCAGATATGTATGTAAAGAAGAGAAGTGGAGATTTGTGGTGATATCATTCCTCTCAAACGCCGCGCTTGTGGTTAATCATGAAACCCTCGAGAGTATCGTAGAAATGTGAAAGCAGGACAGAGCATGGCTGTAGAGAAACTGGACTACTTTAAAGGCACTTAAGAGGAATGAATTTGTACAAATGAGAGGGGAAATGTATGCATCTGTGTTCTGGGGACTTGTATCTCAGCATGTACCTTAAACTTCATTTGTTAAGATGAATGGGTTTTATACTCTTAAAACATCTTCTCTTGGTTCCTGAATGCAACATGTCGACCTGGAAAAAGACTGAGCAGTGTTGACAACTTCCTATGTGCAATGTTGGGCAGATCGTCTCTACCATGACTGATGCTAAGCTAACACTTTACCACATTTGTTGATTCAAAACACTCATAACTACCCAACAAGAGATTTATGAATTGGTAAAATGTTTTTTATCAGTCTTTCAAATGGAAAGAGTTTCATGTCGCCTCAAATAGGATTTTTTTTTTCATTTTTCACCACTTTACATAATCTTCTGAGAGAGAAAGAAAAAAAAATCTATATACAATCAGAACAACTGTTAACCCTCCAGACCCCTGATACATAGGCTATATGCTATATCACCCTAACACTGAACTTTTGACCGGAGGAATAAAAATACAAGCATCAACCAAACCAAACTTGATTTTTCTTTCCAACTACAATTTTGTTAACACGATAACTAACATTAGAAACGTTAGATTAGGTCTACCAACCAATGAGCGATAATGAGTGCTGGGCAATGAAACGATAGAGATCGGTCATCTCCATATAATTTAAGTTAGGGAGTTTAGTCTGCTAGTAAGAGTAAGTGAGTGGCAGCTCAGCTCTCAGCCCTGAGAAGGTGCGTCACAGCAAATGTGAAACTGCTTCATTCTGTTATTTTATTGACTATGTGGGTTGGGTATCCTTTTATTTGGGAAGCTAAGAGAATTTGTAAAAACAAAAAAATAATGAATGATGATCACCTAAGCTTGTACAGTGAGCAGCAGTTCAGCTCACAGCCCCTCAGTGAACTCCTGTGTCTGCTTAAGAAAATCTGATAAAACCAGATGATCAGAAAACTTCACCTTCAGCTTTACTGATTTTAATTTATCTTAATTTACAGCCTTTAAAAGGTTTGACAAGTTTAGTTTGTTTTAAAAAATTAAAGTCTAAAAATTGACATCTGATTTTTTTCAGGCTTCAGTGTTTTCCGGATACCGTCAAACTGGCAGCATATCTAACTATGTTTCATTATAAACATCCCTGTTGATCAATATAGGAAATAAAAATATATAGCGGCTATAATTTATTTCTAAATCATCTTGCCCATGCACAATTATCAGCACACAGTTCGTAAACAGAGTGGAGCAGATCAGCTATGATCAATATTAAATGTGGCATCAGATTTTGGTCTGTTTTTTTTTTTCCAGTTGTGGTTACATTAAATACATTAACTTAGATCAAATATCAACTTTGAACTGGTAGCAATGGTTCTCTCTATCACCGAATCGTCTATATTCAGAATTTAAATACTGGCTTAAAAAAAAGAAAGTATCCTGTATTCTTAGTTTTCATACTGATGAGTACTCTCCTTTTGGCTGGGTCTGGAAGGTTAACCTACACACCCTGTTATTAGTCATATTTCTATCAATTCATTATTATTTTAGTGAAATACTGAACATATGTATGACAGCAAAACTATTCTGGCGCAAATTCAATATATACAGATTAACAGCAAGCATAGAAGGACACTTAAAAATCAAGAAAATGCAGCACTGATCGTGTACAGTGTTTCACAGCATTGGACTGGCACTCTTCAAAGACTATCTACAAACATGGACATGGAAGTCTACCACGACAGGAGCTGGGCTTTTCCCAACGCAGAAATTAAATATGTAAGACCGCCCATCAAGAAGCACATCTTGATATGCCAAAACATTTTTTTTTGTTCTTTTTCTCATGATTTCATAGGTGTAAATGCTTACAGCTTGATGCAAAGTGGTTAAAGTGTTACATATTTTTATCCACAACCAAATAAAAAAAACACATGTTAGTATTTTACAAATATTTAAAAAAGTAAACCTTTATCTATAGGCATTTTAAAATATATTCCATCAAAAATAGTCTGACAAATTTCAACAGTAGAAAACAAATGTTATAGAAATGACAGAAGGTTTGAAGCTAATGTTTTACAGTAGAAATGTGTCATGACCGACAGACTCTGGAGGACACAGACTCTGCTGTTTCTACCTCGAGGAACAAAGAATGGTTTCACTGCTCCACCTGTTTTAAAACCATGCAATACCTGTAAAGAAAATCTCCAGAATTTAGTCAAATGAATTCCATTGTTGGTGTTAAAAGTCGACAAATGAATCTCAGTCTTTACGTGTGTGACAGTTTGACGTTTTGTTGTCCTGTGGATTCTTGTTGTCACCTTTGGCAAACTTTGAGTGGTTGTTTTTTTTTGTCGTGCTGAGCGCTCCGGGCATGAACCGCGGCGGCCTCGTGTCAGACAGCGTAGAGTTCAGTCCCACATGTCATGTCTCTCACTCAGCACAAAGCCGCTCATCCTCCTCCTCGTCTTCTTCTTCAGATCACAAATGATGACTTGTGTCGGAAATCCCCCTGTAGAGGACACACAGAGGTAACGGTTAAAAATGTAGCAGCAAAGTAGTCAGATCTTTTATTTCCATTTCCTTCTGCAGTTTAATGAATATATGCTTGTTCATTTTTTGATTTTATTTCCCCTAACAACAGATCGGTTTTCATGATGGATATCTGCTCTAAAACAAAAGTTGTTTTAAAAAATGTAAATCATTGTGAAACATGGCCAAATCCTCGATTAGCCAATATCAACACATCTGCTGTCTCAACAACTCGGAATTTCTGAGGCATCATTTCGTGACTGTGGTTAAAACTGTGGTCTAAATGACGAGTAGTTTTAGAAATGATTCAGGGTTACAAAATAGCAGAACAAGTTTTTCATTCATCCAACTGACATGTGACCCACCATCAGGCATCAACAGGTCATACATTTTTAGGCTCAATGTAACAATATGATTATGTCATGTTGTGAGCAAGTTGGTTTTTTTTTACTGAGCGACCCCCTGCCCTTTGTGTAATATCAAATCTTAATAGGCAAAAAAACATAAATGATTCGGTTAAGATTGCTGTGTCAAACAGCAACATTGACAAAGGGAAATAAATTGATGCACCAAATCAAAAATGTTTCACTCAAAATCCAAATAACGTGTTCGAACTACAAATTAGCGGGCAGACTATATAACAACCTTACATCTACACTTTTCATAAAACTCTCACCTGGCTCGAGGAAGTCGTGTTCTCTGCTATGAGGAGTGTGCTACACATATTCACCTCACACCTGTCTGTCTTTTTCTATCTTTACCCCGAGTGTGTTTGTAGATGCAGAGCAGGTGCAGCTCATTAAAGGAGCAGGTGGTCCTGTGTGTTTGAGCCCATTAACCATATCAAATAGACTTTGCATTGACTGTATAAAATAGATTTTAAATCGTAATCCCACCAAGACTTTAACTCTGACTGGATTCATCTTTACCAGAAATATTATAAACTGTATTCTCTGTTAGCTTCATTTTCAAATTCTTCTACATTATATCTGATGTGTACATACCTCATCCTCCGTCCGGACGTAGTCCACTCCATCTCCTTTAGCTGGAACTTTGTAACTAAAATACACAAAGAATCAGGTTTTATAGATGATAGTTTATGGAACATGTGTTTATTGATCGAGTGTATATCTGGATGTCTTACTTGTTCCCTGTCTGTTTTTGGCTGGAGAAGAAGCCTCTCTTGTACGCACAGCAGATCCCCGCTGTTATACATAAAAGCACCACCACTACCACCAGCACTCCCAGTACGATGCCAACCACATCAATGTCATCTGTGGGTGGTACAAGAAGAATGTATGAATCAAACACAGATGATGCTCCTCATTTTTTTTCTTTAAATCAGTCACATTAAGATGTAATCATTGTGTCTCTGCCACACTTACAGACTTCCATGTTTTGGGGCGGACACTCCGCATGTCCAGCATCATTCTTCGCTCGGCAGAAGTAATCGCCTGCATCTTCTTTTCTGACTGCGATGAACATCTGTGTTGGAGAAATCAAACATACGCACAAGAGAACCTGATTAATGTAAAGACCAACACCTCATGATAGTTGCAGCCACATCATTGAAGCTAAAAAATCAACCCAGGAACCAGAGCTCCTTCCTTCTCTTTCTGCCCACTGAGCGGCAGGTCTATAGTTTTGTTCTTCTTTTTTCTGTGATCTATTTAAGCTCTGGTCACCTGTAAGAGAGTTGACTAAATGGAAGGGGTTAATTTCCCCCCTAAAGTTTTTCTTCAGTTTTGTAGCCTTTGAAGGAGAATTAAACTGTTTTTCTGTTTGATTTTAAGATGAACAGTTCTTGTTAGTGATGGTTTTTGTTTTGCCCTTTAGACCTACAGTTCTACAATTCATCAGAGACTAAGCACAACACAAGCAAGGATCTAGAGAGGAGGAAACAATGTCAGTAAGAGCAAACTAACAGCTTTAAGTCTGATTGGACACACAGGTGCTGACAGGAAGTGACCAGAGGCAGAGCTCAACATCAACAGCTGTTCTTGAGAGCTCTAATTAGTAACAAAACAATCCTAAATCACTTCATCGTCAAACAAAACAATTATCATCGTCATCATGATCATTAAGTTAGTAGGTGTTCATGAAAGAGTCTTCAGCAGGTCTTTAGCTTTTTCTTAAAGGTGCAGAGGGATTCTGCAGATCCAATGGAGTTTGCAAGTTTGTTTCTCCACCGGGGGGCAACAGAGGAGAGGAGTTGTGAAGTTTGGCTCAGATGCCTTTCATTGGATGGGGTTAGTGGCGGGGGGCTGGTGTAGACCTGGATGACAGAGTTTAGCTAATGAGGAACCGTTTTTGTTGTTGTTTTGTAAGCCAGCGGCAGAGTTTTAAACCCTGAACCCTTGTTTTAGTCCAGTTTTCATATTCAATGTAAATCATTAAATGCTCTAAATCTTTCTGCAGTATTTTGTAGATGTTGACAGGATTTTGGGCCAAACTTGTTATGTAACTCCCTATGCTCGCTAAGACACTCAAAAAGATCATGACACCTTATATACTGCTAAAACTGTGAAGGATTGTTAAGTCATGAGTTGATAGTAAAACAGTTGAGAGCATTGAATTAATTTTGTATGCTTATAATTCATTGTTCAATGAATGAACTTTAGTTAGGCACACAGAGGTGCAGTAAGTATTCAGGGAGAAGAGTTCCTGCCAGAAGAAGAGTGACATTCACACCACGTTTACATACTTTCTGATAACAGAGAAAATGTGATTAGCATGTCAGGGAGGATTAATATGAAAATGAAAGTGAAATGGACACACTGCTGTCTGTTTCAGATAGACGAGTGAACAGATGAACCAGGGGATTCAGTGACAGAGCAGTGGTACAGAGAGAGATAACTTTACACCCTGTCATGGTGCAGTCAGTCTTTAAAGAGACATACCAGAGACGCACGAGGTGCTGCGTCACTTTACACTTTTAAAAACAACATCCAACTATTTATATCTGCTGCTGTGGGCATTCTAGCTCACTACACTCACCATGAGGTTTTCTATCAGAAATGTCAGACAAAACTGTGTCTGCCATATTGAATACTAAGGCAGCAGCACTGTATTTATACTCCATGAAGACATCTGGTTGTCACACTGTTTGACTGTCTGTGCACAAGACGGTCAGTTTCCCAGCTTGATCTGATGGCTTGTCTCGTCTTTATGATCATACATGGCTTCCCTCCTACAGATCTTTGTGTTTCTATAAAGCAGAAGACATCTGATGATGTACACATTATCACTGTGTCAGGAGGGAATTGTATGATACCTAAGAGGAGGTCTGCCTCCTCTTAGGATATCAGCTGATATCAATGAAACACTGGCATTCTAGCAGAACATGACTCCGTGGCTTGCCTGAACTAACGCTACCCTCAATTTTTGTTGTTTGTTAGACTTTTTACTTAAATGAAAAAATTATACATTTTATTTTTATTTTCATTATTTAGGCACAGTTTTTAAATGAGAGCAGCTCGCACATGAACCATTTTTTACCAACAATCAACAAAGACTGAAACTTTTTTTTTTTTTAAATTAAAATTTAATTTAATTTAAAAAATGTTTTATTTTTTTTTATTTAGTTAAAAGACATCAAGTGTTTGAATAAATTGTTTTGGGTTTTTTTCAGTTTTATTTTTTGGGGCCTTTTTGCCTTATTAGCAAGGACAGCTAAAGAGAGACAGAAATATCTGCACTGGGACTTGGACCGGTGACACTCCGGTTCCCAACCTAAGTCCCTTCAGATTGAGCTCCTGCCGACATTAAAAGACATCGAGTGTGTGGATGGGATAGGACAGCTGAAGAAAGACAGAAATGTTGGGAGGAGAGAGTGGAGGAGCAGTGCAGCAAAGGGCCGAGTTCGGACTCAAACCCACAGCTGCTGGGACAAGAACTACAGCCTCCGTACATGAGGTACACGTCATAACCGCTAACAGCCCCCTGATTTTGTACCTTTTTATAAAGTGTGCTTACCAATGTTTCCAGTATGTTTTTCCTCTGTTTATAGGACGTTAATATTTAAGAGCAGTATAACCCTGTGTAGCTAACAAGAAAGCTTTTACATTTACAGACATTTATATTTTATAAAAAAAAAACATTTGTCCCCTTTTATTCAATTGTAAAGAAATGTTTGTAAAAATGAAGTTTATTTTCTTTTATGAGTTTAGTGTTTAGAGAAAATGATGGATGATAAAAAAAACTCAATTGCTTTCTGACAATCTAACCTTTTCTAATCTGAAGCAAACTAATAATACATTTCACAGATTCCAGTCTCTGCGTCGTTGGTGGGCGTCATTTCCTCACATGGGAGTGGCAGCGGGGAGTGATGAGTGTTTCTGTAAACAGTCTAAAAATAACCGTCCAAACGAGATAAGCACAGTGGAAAAAGTTCATTACTTTGCAGCTCTGACCGTAAACTTTCAACTTTTTTCTTGTCGTTTCAGGACAAACACGGCGCAGTACTCGTCGGTGCGTCACGTCTAAAAGGCGAAGTGAAGGTTAACAGGAGAGTGTCGGAGGCAGACCGGGACGTGCTGGGAAGCAGGCGAGGAATTGAGGAATGTGAAAACGAGGACAGCAGATTCCCCTCGTGGCTCGAGCTCTCTCGCACCATCAACTGTCTCCCCAAAATATCCGCCCCCACCCCTGGGCGTCAGGCCACCATCCCCTGCTGCCCCGCCCTTGCTATCCTGCGTGCCCTTGTCCAAACACATGCATTGGCGACACAAACACACACTCACCAGAGTTCCTGTTTCTGCGTTGAGCGTGTACGAGGAGTTCAAGAACCTGATGCTGGTCTTTGGGTCGTCTGGGATCTCCTCTCGGTTCTTGAACCACTGGTACTGAGACTTTGGGAAGCCCTCGTCCTCCATGCAGCTCAGCTCTGCAGACTTCCCAAAAGGCACAGACTTTGGGACACTGCACTTGGGCACCACAGGCTTTACTGTAGACACAGAAAACACATGATCATAAACAGGGATCTCCTCTGTGAGCATCACACTGATGACAAAACTGACACATCCCTTCATGATGCGGCAGGATCTTTGCTTGACTTTTTGACTTCGATGCTTTAGAATTAAACAATGTCAACCTGGTTCTCAGGACTGGGTACATAGTTTTTGTCCTGTGCCAAAAAACACCACCAAAACATGCAGCGCTTGCTTTCTTTAGCCCTGCAATCCAGAGGAGATGCAGTTTCAGAGGTTTCCTCTTATAGCCCTGAACACGCCTTTGCAGCTGGGCAGGTCTGGTCATAACACATCCTCGTATGTATGCCAGGGTTGGTGCGACCTATCACACGGTTTCATCTTACAGCATCATGAGTGTGAATCTCAGAGCAAGGTCTCACTTTAAGGGCACAATAAAGGGCAATAAAGCAATAAATATGATCATGGTATTTTCTGAAATGGATCAAGATCAATATTTTTCTTAATATTTCTTTTACAAAATAAGTGTAAATGTGTCATGATTATAAAGGAGGCCTGAAGAAAGCAGAAGGTTCATTAATGAACTTTATGATATAATATTTTTACATGCACAGATTTTGTCCAAAACCTTGTAGAAAAGTTGAAATAAATGATTACAGAGCTAAAAGGATAAGGAGTCTAATTTGCTTTCAATTACAAAGTTTTAAACAGGAGCCACATTTTTTCCAGAGAGCTGCTACGACATTAAAATGAGTCAAACAAGCAACAAAAAAGTTGAATGTTGAATATCATTGTTTTTACAGCCCTCTGTAGTGGGACAGGAAGTAAGAAGGGGCTGCAAAGCAAGCTGTGGCTACAGATGTTAGCTCAGTGTTAAGGTATAATCATGATTATAAATATTTGTATGGATTATCTGCAGATGTCCTCTCCTTTTAAACAATGTATTGACTCATGATGTAAAACTTGTTACACCACAGGATTAACCATTCCAGTCAGTGTTGAATCTGTTAAAATCAGCGTTTCTTTGATGCTCTTTGATTTGTCTCTGGAGCTGCCAGCAAAGCTGCAGCTACATAAACCTCCAGACGTTCAGTGTCTAAAATAATTAATCTGGTTAAATTAGATGTTTTATAAAGACAACAAGGTCTATAGAGTTACAGTGAAGTGACTTGCTTAGAAAGAAATTGGCTGGAAATAATTTAACGTCCAGCATGCAAGCTTACATCTGCTGATTGACAGTCTGTTGTTGAGATTATTCCTGGCAAGCTGTCAGATCTAGCCTTACAGTGTTAACAAGGTCAAAAGTTTGTTCTTATCTACATACATTTTAACACATCCACTTAACAGGTTAATGAATCTAGCAGAGCTACAGCATCATATTTTCATATATCTCTCCTTTATTTTTTTAATACATCTCACATGGGCCTGGAACACACACCACACTGATTCATTAATGATTAAGGTAAAGCAGATTACCTCTTACAACAAGGTCGATCACAATCTCATCAAACGACTTCTGGTCGTAAGCGGCCGTAACCTCACAGCGATATTTGGCAGTGTCCGATCTAGTGGCGTTGGTTATCAGTAACGTGGCCGGTTCTCTGATCACTGCTCTGTTCTCCAAGGCTCCTGTGAGGACAAAAACGTGTTTAGATGCACGTCGGACATCAATGTAAAAACTCTATGCAAGTCAAATATGTGTTTTTCTTTCTTTCCCACCTGAGATCTTCTTGTCGTAGTACACATAACTGGGTCCTTCACTTGTTATCTTCTTCCATTCAATTCTGGGATTGGTCGTTGAGATGGACTCTATCAAACACGATAACTCAATTTCTGTGGGACAAAGAGAAAGAAGAGTGATGGGATCGTTATAAGAAATCCGTTTTAGTATTTTCTGCAGGGTTTTACATGTTCATTATGTCTTACTGTCGAACTCATCGGTCCATGGGGAGTCGTTACTCGTTTTCAGGACCACTGCTAACACGCTGACGTAGCCTGAAAAACAAGAGAGAGAGAGGAGGCAATGCAATGAGTTCTTCTGGAGCATGAATTCTCATGATACACTGATGATCTCATGCTACATGCACAACACCAGCTGATGTTCTGCGCTTGTTTTAACACTCTCCTTGGGGATGTTTGTAACACGTTCACTCATCTTAAATCCCACAATCACAATTAATTTCAATGATTTTCACACCCAGTCAGTCTTCCATTTTCAGTTGTGTTGGTCAAACCATTGTGTATCTGTGCTGAGGGTGGGGGTGCTGTTTCTATGCACAGTGGATAATTGCGCATGGAGGCATGTGTCCTTTTCAGGGCAGGCTCACCATGCCAGTAGTTCAACCGCCTGACGAGCCCCCCCCCCACCCACCCTCCCTTCCTCTCTCTCTGTGCGTCTCATGCTGTTGCCCATGTGGGACTAATGGGGCCAAAAGCACCCTGGAAAGATCTGTGTTGGTATGTGGTGGAGGGGCGAGGGCCTTGGGAGGGGGCACGGCTGAGTCATTCTGACAGCCTTTGGTCCACAAACTGATCCACACAAAGTCACTTCCACATGAATGCTAACGCAGAAACTGGCTCATGAACACTTCAACAGACTGAAAATGATGCTCTGAATCTTGGAAACAGACTCACTTGCAAACGTACTGTTACTGAAAATCCATGAGACGCCTTATAACCTTTATTTGTTCAGCCATTCATGCTAAAAAAAAACCCCTGAGTGAATCTTCAAAAAGAAATACAGTAATTGGTAATTTATAACTCGTTTTAAAGACCTTATAAAGGCTGTTTTTACTGAAGATACACATCAGCAAGAGGCTTCTTTACATCATCTTGTAAACAGCACACAGTCCACTAAAACCATCACACGCCCCAGTGATCCATTGTATAAAAATTGACTTTAACATCATATCATATCAATGTAACCTTGACAATTTAAGTCAAACATATATTTGTAGTAGCTGTTTAACTCTGGAGCTGTCCCCTGGATTATTGAGCCCTCCAAACAGAATCAGTAATTAATGGATAGTTGGCTAACGGGCCACATGCCTAGCAGGTACAGTCTTAAACAAAAGCCTCTGAATGGAGTAATAATTATTTTTGGAAAGCAGATCAAAGTACCTCAGATACGAAAAAACAAGCACAGAGACTAAACGAAAAGATAAATGACCATTAAGAGATAATAATCAACTATACAGAAATAACATAAAATAGCATAAAATAAAAAAACAAACAGGAACAGATGATGATAGCCAGAAGGAGAAATGATCAGAAACAACAAGAACGAGGAAAAAATAACTGCCATCAAGAGACACAAAACTGAACTAAATTGACCAGACGCCAGCAAAAGCTTTCTCTGTGTTTCAGTGGTCTTCTCTTAACCCACGGTTGGGGGACCAGATATATAGTTCCTGCATTCACATGTTGAAGTGCCTTTGGGCGAGACACTGAATCCAAAATTGCTTCTATAATATATATAATAGGATTATTTTATACTGATGGACACTTTACATAACGTCCTCTGCCATCAGTGTATGTGGTGTGAATGAAGTCAGAAGACGAGAAAAGGGCGTTACAAGCTCAAGTCCATTTACCATTTAACAGAGACAATAAATGTCAAAAGATTTACTGCCACAGAGACAAAGAAACAAAACAACCAAAGAGAGACAATAAAAAGACAGAAGGAGAGACAATTTCAGGGAGATGAAAAAACAACCTCAAAGAATCAAAAATGACAGGAGAGCTAGAAAGTATATACTTTAAAAATCAGATTTAGAGTCAGTTGCTTTCAGTTACAAAGTTTTTGTCCAAGTAGAATTTCAACTTTGAGTGATTCACCGGTTCTTTGGGACTTAAAAAGAAAAGAGAAACACACCACACAGAAAACAAAATACCACAAATGGACCGCAGAGATGGAACACACTGGGACACTTAATGGTGACTGTATAGTGTGTAGGTGTAGTGCAACACTAATTAGTGGTGAAAATGGCCAGGGACCTCTCATTGAAAACCCTCTCAACCAGGGATAAGCTGACCTCCACCAACTGTCCAGTATACAGGGCAGTGCGTGGGGTCACCTGCTCAGGCAGACAGGATAAGCTGATTAGCCCCTGCTCTCTGTGGAGACCACAACAAGACAACAGCTTTGCTGTTAGCTGCTACTGACTGCACCGGGTCAGAAGTAGGTCACACCTAACAGATAAGTAAGAATACAAAATCTATCTACAAGGTGTTTTAGTTAGTAGCTCATGCTCAAGGACTTCATTGATATTCCACTTTTGTATCAGACACAGAGATAAAAACTGTGTAAAATGAATTCACAGTTATATTTACAGTATGTGCCAAGAATGAGGAATTGTACTCACCCCCACCTTGTTTTTTGGGGGTAAAAAAATAACCAAAATACACACACACATCCTCTATGTTAAGGAGTCCAGGAGCAAAACTCTGATCCATCTCCAGGGTGCTGCTCAGCTCTGACCCTGTCCTCCCATTTTTATCTCAATCCCCCCTACAGGGATCAATATTATTGTTGCAGCATTGGATGCTCGTTCTGAGGAAATATATCACGACGATACAACAGCAGAGGACAACCATTAACCTTCACTTTGGATTGTAAATAAATACAAATCTTAACAAAACCTTCCACTCAAAAAAAAATGTATTCTGTACTCTGCAACAAGAACAAACTTTGGTCCCAGGTGGAATAAGTTTCGCTCTACAAAACTAAACACTGAAGTTCTTGATGACCTGAAAAAGTTGTGTTTTCTGAAAAACTTTCACAAAGATTAGACAAGGAGGAAGGATGAGAACCCGTGCTTCTTTTTTGAAACCTGATAATCAAACCACCTTCCGTCGAAGCCTGTTGCCTTTTTAGCCTTCTCTTCGCAGCCGTACAAGCAGAAGAAAAACAGACACAGCTGTGGCAGAATTAGACGTTTTATGCAAAGAAGTGCTTTTTGACGCACAGTGTTTCTAAGACCTCCTTGTACTGTGTCTACATTCTTGTACAAATGTAAAGCGTCCTCTGATGAAAAGTTAATCCTTTCTTTACACTCAAAGCTAGAAATATCACTGAGGATACCTGCTCTCTGAAAAAGAAAAAGTCTATTTTTTACTGTTTCTGACAAAAGCTTGTGTCTGTGAAACATGCCAGTGCTTACTTCTGGGTTTAAGTTTCAAATACACTGCAGTTACTGTGTAACCAAACACCAAATCTAACTAGGCCAAGTATGCCAGGAGTCCAAAATATCAGAATATGCCGTGTTGAAACAGAATCCAGCGCAGACAATAAATTATTCCAGGTGATTAATTTAGTTGCAGGGCTTTTCATTAAAAGCAGTTTAAACTGTGGTCATAGAGAGCTAATAGAGTGCACCCCCTGCCCCCATGCTCCTCCTTAAATCACAGAGTATTACTGCAGATTAGGTGCCTAAGTGAGCTTGACGTAGAGATAAAAAGCTTGAGAGGTCTGCCATGAAACAGCTGTCCAGGAAAACACAAGAAACTGCCGCTCACTCACACAGAGCTACATTTGAATGTATTCATGTAGAGCAGTAAAAAGGAAGTTTAAGCAAAATTCAAGATGAACTATTGTTGTGAATATGGGAGATAAAAAGACCCCTTTTCAGGGAAAGCTGCACTAAACACATACATCACATTTGTTAATTTAAAATGCCAGACGATGTTCAGGAGATAAACATAAAACACAACTTCTTTTTTCTAAGCGTCCTCTTCGATGATTCAGAGGGAGGCTTTCAAACAGCTTCTGTCTCAAAGATGAGCTAAGTATTTTGAAAAGGTCAGTTTCCAAAAACAAAGTTTAACCCCGACTTAAAGTTTAACAGGAGGCGAGCAGTGAAAACAGAGCATTTAAAACGACAAAGAGTATTACATCAAAAAGTATCCAGTACAGAAGTAAAACAGAGCTTCAACTCAACCATAGAGCTGAAACAAACTGGAAATTCACAACTATTTCTACAGTCCTTTAAAAGTTAGAGTTATCTAACAAGTAGAAATTCAATCATGTGTGAGTGTTTGGTCTTTAGTGATCTATTAAAGATGATGATCCTTTTGAGATCCTTTTGTTTGGACAAAACCAAAAGACAGAATGACAGAGTAATAAAGCAATGGATGGTGTTTTATCTAAAACTGGTATCTTTTCAAAATGTGTTAACTTCTGTTTCTAATAGACTCAACTGCCAGGGCCATGTATTTGGTCAATAAAAGGGTTGAGGTGATCAGGCACTACAAACCACCCAACGTCCTTGACGCCTAGACACCACCACCCGTCTGTGTCGTCCCCACAACCACCGCCGTCCTCATTCATACACACCCTGCTCCCATCTCTTCAGCAGCAAGGAAGTGTGGACAACACTAATGCGAGGGATACAAAGGAGAAATCCTTCCTGCATATTATCCCATCTCCCCAATCCCATTTTTCTTAATGAGTATGGTCTTTTACCTGCTCCTTTGTAAAGCATCTCGAGAAATAATGATTGATTAATTGATAAATGACACACATTATTAGGTGACACCTAAGCATACGTGTAGTGCTCCAGTGGGCTCCAGGATTTTTTTCTCCAAGTGAGGAAATAGAATATTTGCGGTTTGCATAATCGGCTAAATTTCATATAAACATTTTTAATCGCTTCAAGAGCTGATCATCACTGTGTTTGTGTTTGTCATGCAAGAGAGATGATAAAAACCCCCACAATGGTCAGTTATCATTTTGACATTTAAGATGGCTTCATTGACTCACAACGTCAACTCATGCACAAGTAAAAAGGAAAGAAAACATTCCAGATAAAGGTTTACGATGATGTCTGCTCTTGTCTATGCACAGCCTACGCACACTGTACAGACAAGAATAATCCATGTACACGTGCCATCAGTCACCATTTGAAGCGTTATGTCAGGTGAGCCATCAACTATTATGTTTTCATATTCCCATATCATCAGATCATCATGTTGAGACTCGACACAATTAAAGTGGT